GACACAAGCAAGAACAATATTTCTTTTAGAATATAATGAAAGTATCTGATTCAAAAGTTGAGCTAATCTCTGTTCAAGCATGTTTTTCCTTGGCATGTACAGGGTAACATATATGTTGAAATGTTCGTATATGTTGAATATATGTTTATAAATTATATATGTTGAAAAATATATGCTCATGTTCAGGCTGCTGTTGAATATACCATATTATTTTACATTATTAGCGTTTAATGTATATCTTAGACCTTTTAGCGTATTGTTAGAGTATTGTTAGCATTTCTTTAGTGGATATCTTAGTGTATGTCTTAGATCTTTACGTATTGTTTCTTTTTATACGTTATAATTTTGCTATTTTTGGGTGTAACTGGGACCTTGAGTACACAATTTCGTATCACATGTGATGCAAATGACAATAAAGAACCTTGAAATTAGGCATGGACCTGATTCTGGTTTATCAATTTTTACTAAGATGACAAAGACAGTGCGGGGTTTTCTCTAGTCAAAGTGTAAAGGGTAAATTAGTTCTCCCCTCCCCCGCCTGATGCTGGAAGCCATCATTCAGCTGTTTATGGCAGTGAAACAACAAATATCCCCACCTTAAGTTAACTGATAATGTTTTGTTTCCAAAAGCATGCACTGTCTAACAAATGTCATCCATCACTGATTTAAGGCAAATTTGTTTTGAAACCGACATTTTCTACAGACCATGAGATTTACTATAAATACTGTTAAAACAAGCACTCGACTGCAGGCTTGTCTAATTACCTGTTAATTAACTTGCTAGTATTTGATTGTTAGGCCTCTATTTTACAAAGAGCAAAATGACTTGGAAGGAACAGTATTCAGCAAAATTAGAGCAATTACTTTAGAACAATGGCAACATTTAGCTGATGGTTATTCTTTTTTTTTTTTTGAGTTGTTTACATTTGTATATACCTGTTTAAAAATCACATTTTATAAGAAATGGCCTGTTGGCTCTTTTTGTGTTGTTTTCACCTCACCCTGATTTTTAATTAAATCTCAATACTTGAAAGAAGAATTTAAAATCAGACTTTGATCTTGAAAATACAAATAGCTGACACATCAGGGTCATAAAATCTTGGAATGTTTAACATAAACAGAGTGACTGTGAACACATTTGTTTGTATTTTCTCAACGTTTTATTTTTAATATTGCATTAAAATTGAATTAAATATACTCCACTATAATGTGCAATAAATTTATTCTCTAGAATCTTATATTTACTATTTACTCATAGTTAATGTTCATATAAAAAAGCTCCTAGATAATGAAATAACTTATTTTGCTTTAAATCTTAGTATTACACTGGTCTTTTTTATGTATTTTTCCTCATTGTGATCAAGCTGTTACGATGTAATTGGCACATATCAATGACTGACCTAATACTGCAACACTTCACAATCTGTTTTACAAAAACTAGTCCTCACATGAAATCATATCCAAAGGAAGCAAAAAAAAAACAAAAGTCCCTATTACTCTAAAGATCATCTAAGCAAAGTGTAATTTATCTTTATATAATACAAAAAAACTACAACAATAACATTACTTTGCAGTAAGTTGGACAAACAAAATAGAAACCGTTTTACAAAAGAATTAATTAACTATTTGTTTCTGTAAATGTGGTGTCTGAAATTAGTCAAGAAGTTATTTGAGTCGTCCTCCTCAAACGCAAATGTTCTAAAAGCTCCTCATCACTGGAGGCGGACTGACCTCTAATATCAAAGGGGGTAGGGGTTAAAAGCAAATTATGAGACTTGGAAAAAAAAGGGATAGAAAAAGGGAGGGTGGCATTTGCAAATACTGTTCTTGTATAATGAAGCCATATGGTGGCACAAATCTGGAGTCTCTGAAGTATTTTTACAAGCTTTACTTCTTATCAGGTACATCTGTAAAGTCCCTGAAAACATTTTGGTGACCTTCAACTATAATTATCTCCTATGTCCCCCCTTGATTGGTATTCCATGGGTGGGATTTTTGTCTATGAGATATTTTCACCAGCATTAGGTGCATGGCATATCACTGCAAAGTAACTAAAGCATTGTCTTTCTCTTTGATGAAGGAAAAGGGGAAAACTTAACAACTTCCCTATGATCTTTGCTTTTGGAGTTCTAGCATTAAGGTTGCACTGAAGAAAGACAGAATGTCTGGCGCTTAAAGAACAAATGCCGCTTTGGTTTTAAAAACAGCACTTCAAATCATCTTGACAAACTCCAGAGTGCTCGCGCATTCTTTTTGCCTCATCTAATAAAAGCAAGAACCACATCTTTTGAAGAAGTGCCGTTTTCAAGTGTTCTTCTTAAGACTTAGAAAATAGAGGGTTTTGTTCTAAGAAAGCACAAAGATTAAATCAAAGCGAGCTGAAGTTGTAATTGGGCCCCAACAAACAGGGCTTCTGGTCATCTACCTCACATCACTTGAACATGAATCGCCCAAGGATAGTTTGTGGCACTCCTGATAATCTTAAAGGACGGCTGCTTTCCCCCCACCATTCCTTATCAGCCTTATTCGCAAACCAATTACGGTGATTTTAATCATACTGTATTACAAGTGATTAACCCTTTAGTGCATTTAATTAACCTTTGCAACCACTGATTCTCATCGGGCATAGCTTCATGCTATTTTTTTCCGTGACACAGGCTTTAAATAAGCACATTCTAAACTGGTGGGAAATGTAACATTTAAAGTGGGAGGATTCACTTGTCATTTGCTTAAGGCGACACGAAAATTAGATATGCTGTCGACGTAACATCACCAAGGATGGCTCTTGGTAAGTATATCCACTGAGAAAACATTCTGTGTTATTGTTTTCAATTGTTGATATCAAACTATGAGAAGATTGTGCACATAAAACCTGTTTTCAGCTAGATGAGTGAATAAATATACCTTGGAAATAATGAGATACAAACATAGCCTGAAGATTTGGAAGAATGTTTACTAATCAAATATTCATAGATTTCGAAATTATCGGTACAAAAATGCTCCACTCTGATCAGCACCATAAGTGAAAATCAATTTAAGTCTGTGATGCATTAAATTCGCAAGGGATAATAATTCTGAATTGTTGAACACAAACTGACTATTTCTGCATCTGCTCTGGAAGTCATTACGTGTAAGAAGGGGAAAATCATACTGACAACTTGACAGTGTGTCGTATAAACACATTATGGATTAAATCTTCAGTACCAGGGGCATGTAGTAGGCTTATGCATGATGCAGCATGGCAGGGCATAGCTTTTAACTAGGGTTTCAAATAAAAGGTGGATGAGAGAAATGACGATCAGCTCTGTGTGGGTGTCTTCACAAATTAGCCTAAGTACTACACTTTACTGGATCAACAGTCATTTACAACGACTATTCTATGAGAAATGCTTGCTCGGTGTCACACAAAAAATCTACTGTGAGTAAAAGAAGCATAATACAACCAGAAATGTAGAAAACATTGAGCAACATGAAGCTGAAGACGCAAACAAAGGGAGAACACCTTGTGAAATAAATAATGTTATAAACATATTATTGATGCAATATCGTGAAATTGACCTAGAAATGGATGAGTGGCAGTTATAATAAATATGATCAAAAGTAGAACATAAACACAAACCAGTGCAACGACAACAAACAAATCTAAAAGAAATGCTTAAGGAAATGTAAAATAAAAAAATAAAAAACTTAGTTGACTGGATGCTTGAGGTAAAACCACAACAATGCCTATGCCAGTATGAACAAAATGATTCTCTGCACTCAGTCAGCCTTGTTTAATTAAATTGTGCCGACAGCAGGTCAAATATGTAATCATACATTAGAAATACAACAATGAATATTTTTTCGGTGTCAAGCACTCACTAAAACATGTCAAAGTGAGAAAGATTTGTGCTGAGATTAGTCTAACTCTAGATCAGCAAATTTAAGCCATGCAAAAAAGGTTTCTACATATGCCATTTATAACAATAATTGGGGTCATTAAAGAAGAACATTTATGGGCTTGGTGTAGGGTTGACCTGGTAGGCTTTTTATGGACTATTGCTCCCTTGGTGTTTAAGTATATTGGTCTCAAGGCTCTGCATCACCTTGATCCCTATGACCCCCCTTCCTCTGTCCCGAGCAGTACTCAGTCTTCCAAACAGCACTGAGCTTTGGCTGCCAGGACTAAGTAAGGCCACCTCTACTTACATCTGATTTACATTTATTTCCCTTGCCAGCTTTTATTTTATTGGGGCATTTCACATTTGGCAAGTATCTTTTAGGGAATCATAAGCCCTTTGCTGCACCTTAGTATTCGAATGAGCCTCACTTTCATACAGCCTCTCTGGCACATTTTAAGACTGTTTTAAGGACAGAAGCCAAAAAAAGGCTCTGGTTATTTATCAAGCCATTCTAGCACACCCAAAGCTTTTTTTGTGTGTTTTTTTCTGACATTTATTGGCTCAAAATGGGCATATTTCACACTTTTTGGCTCAAAGAATACTTGATGAGATGAGTAGTCTTTAATTCATTTTATATGTATTGTTGAACATATTTGCCAGATAGACACAGCTTCATCTGCTTTTGATCTCAAATTCAATTGTGGAGTTCAAAAACTGTCCCCTATCACACAACCCTCAAAATCAAGCTATTGCCTTCAACTATTCACAGCTGAGGTAATAATATATTAGCATTAATATTCTTGTTATTACTGAAACTTTAGAATATCAAATTAACCTCAACTGTATTTTTGCATTGAAGTCATGGCTGCCCATAAAGAAGGGTGAATTAGAGAATTAACAGATACTGAGAAATATGAACTATTAATTGTGACAAACTATGTATCAGTCCCCATTTTATGTGCAAATGACATTCATGTAGACACGGTCATGGTTTGTGTGAGAAATTCCCCGGTCGTTATACCTCCACCTCCCCTCTTTCACATCATCTACTAAGGAACAGCAATGGGAGTGTGAGTGGGGACTAGTGTGGGTGGGTTTAAAAAGGAAGTCATGAATTACCTGCCGGGTGGTGATTTGCCCTGCAGTCTTGAATCCCCCCTGACAGCCGCACCCTGAGACACTGTACTGGTCGGAGCTAGTCGATGAACACTTGGAAAGTGAGTCACAGCCCACCACAAATGTGTTGTCCAAAGGGAGCTCCTGGATCACGTGGTGTTTCTTAGGGGCCACAGGAGTTTCTGGTTTGATTTGAAATGTAGGCTGAGGTGATGCAGACTTGTAATGCTTGGCTAAATCTGGGCTGTCAGGTTTGAAGGTCGTGGGTGTGGTCGCCCAATTGTACTTTCCCATGGTTTGCTCCTCCAGCTCCACAGGGAGATCCAATGTTCCATTAACATGCTCATGCGTGGGGTCTTCAGGCTTGGATTCATCTATGGTCACAAAGTTCAAAAGAAGGCTCTTAGGGGATCGCTTCTTTCTTTTCTTCTTCTTTTTGATCTGACGATTTTCTTGATTGGGTGACACCCACTCCCCACTCTGCTTGCCCTTCTGAACTACTTTATGTCTGGGTGTCTGCCGGCATCGTACCAAGGCAGTAACAAATATCACCAAGATGACAGTCATGGTCCCTGCTATGATAGCTATTACAACAATTACATATCCATTCGCTTGAGGTGTTACCTCATTGTCCCCTATGTTACGATCCAGCGGTGTTTCCATACTTTTCCGCAGCTGCTCTTGGATAAAGGTAGCATTTGACACAGTGTCATTGACAAACAAGTGAACAAGAGTGATAGCGTGTAATGACTCAGGCTGGCCTAAATCTTTGACCTTGACTACCAGCCTATGCAGTCCCTGATCAGCTAATACTATTTTCTCCTGCAGAGTTATGTTACCCGTTGTTTTATCAATGGTAAAGAGACCTCGAGGGGAGACCCTAGAAGTGATGATTATGCTGCTGATAATACTGTAATGCAGCTCAGCATTCATACCTGTGTCATTGTCAATGGCAAACACTCTGGTGACCACAGAACCAGGGGTGGTGATGGTCCGCACTAGGTCATATGAGTAATTGGAGGAAGGGATGACAAACACAGGGCGATTGTCATTCACATCCACTACATTAATAGTGACCTTAGCATAAGAAGTGCTGGGCGGCTGCCCTCCATCAACTGCTTTGACCATAAATGTGTAAGAGCTTTGCTGCTCCCTGTCAAAAGTGATGTTTGGTTTAATCACACCCGTTTGTGGATCAATGATGAAATTGTCTTTCCCATTCAAAATAGACAGAGTTATAACAGCATTATCTCCTGCATCTGCATCAGTCACTGTGATTAAACCAACAGTGCCATAGAGAGGCAGGTTCTCAGGCACATAGAAGTTGTATTCAGGGTGTGTGAAAGCTGGGCTGTTGTCATTAAGGTCCTGGACAATTAGCCTAACGGTGACGTTGCTCAGTAGGGGGGTTGAACCATTGTCTCTTGCCATGACAGTGAATGAGTACCTCTCCTGTTTCTCTCTGTCTAGTCGCTTCCCAACAGAGAGAATTCCTAACTGCCTGTCTACATTAAACCCATCAGGTGCATCAGGGCCAAGAGTATAAATAATCTCTGCATTATGCCCACTATCTGCATCTGTGGCACTGATTTTTATTAGCTGTGTTGAAGGGTCATTGTTCTCCGGTATGGAAAGCTGAATTTCAGGCTGAGGAAAGATGGGTGCATTGTCATTCTCATCCTTGATTTTAATTAGAACCATAGCTGAAGTGTTCAAAGGAGGTGTCCCTCTATCCGAGGCCACTATCTTAATAGCATATTCTCGAGTTGTCTCAAAATCAAGAGGAGCAGCTGTCTCTAATAAGAACTGATCATTAAAGACTGGCTTCAACCGGAAAGGAACATCATGGTCGGTGTAGCAAGCCACTTTTCCATACAGATCTGCATCCTTGTCAGTAACAGTAATAAGGGCTATTTTGGTATTGAGGGGTGCATTCTCAGACAGCAGTACAGTCCCGTTTACCAGGTTGATAATGTAGCGAGTGTCTATGGAGGGCACATTGTCATTGACATCAGTGACATTAACAATCACTGTAGCTCTGGATGGGGTGGAGCTGCCATCACTTGCTAGAACTATGAGTTTATGTACAGGAGTCACCTCCCTGTCCAACGGTTGCTTCACAGTGATCAGCCCAGTGGAACTGTTGATAGCAAAATGACGCTTGGTTGAGAAGGAGACCTGGTTGCTGAAAGCAAAGTGGATTTGTGCATTAGAACCCAAGTCTGCATCTGTGGCATGAAGCTGAGCAACTGACGTCCCCATTGGAGCATTCTCTGGCACAGAAACCTCCAGTTCACTGTCCTTGAAGATTGGACGATTGTCATTGACATCTGAGATGGTAACTTGGAGAATAGCAGTGCTAGACTTGGGTGGGCTGCCACCATCCTCCACCTTGATCTTCATTACAAAGGTGTCTTTTTGCTCCCGGTCAAGGTTCTGCTGAACAATCAGTTGAGGCCACTTGTCACCTTCAGGGGTCTCAATGATGTCTAAGCCAAATTCATTGACACTCTGAAACGACAAAACAGTTTTGGTAAATTATAATTTGTTTACTTGTAAACAATACTGAATACCACATAAGCGTTAAACTAAACATGTTAATATTCACAAAAAGACCCCCAAAGTGCCTGACAAGTTTTTGTTTAGTGTCAGTTTGTTAATTCCCTTTAAAACACAAATGATTAATAATATTCTTAGGTTAATGAGCTTTATTAGAACTTTTTAATACAATTTTGTTGGAACTCAAGAATTGTACATCCTGAGAAGCTAGGTTATTGGTACTGCTTTGCTCATCTTAGTTGAGTACAAGCACACTAATCATTAAATTGTTTCACATTTTTACACAATCCATGAAACACAACTGTTTAAAAGGTAAAAGAAGAAATTAATCATTTTCAAATGTGACCAAACCTTGTAGTAAATTAAGTCTTTCAGTCCTCTGAATACCTACAGCTTGAATAGATTCATTTACTGCTTTTTAGCCCTCTCATCAAATTTCCTCTGCCTTTACTAAAATGAGATTTCACTTTATCCTCCTATCTTGTGTCATGATAGAACAGAGCAGGAAACCTTGCACTATTCCAGTTTCATTTACAGAGAGAAAAAGACTGATGGAAATGGAGACACTCCAATAAACATGTATTTAGGTACACTGCAAAACCACATCATCTTAAGCCAAAAGAAGAGTAAAGGTAAAATGTGACATGTTAGAAAGGCTTTTCGCTCAAGAAGAGCCAAATCTATGCAAAAGTAAAGCTGGAAGAGAGTGAAATGAACTGGATCTGTAATCTACACGAAGAACCAGAAAAAAACTGGCAATAGTTGTTAGGAGTAAATGCCTTCCTTATGTTTACAATAAATTTTGTATGGTAAGAACTTATACATCAGTGGCGAGAAGAAAGGAATAAAGCAAGTGAGAGATGGAGAGGACAGAAAAAGACATGAAAAGGAGAGCAGGGGAGGAAAAAAGAAGAAGATCAAGCCTATGAATGAGCTGCATGCACATTACGAAACAAAGAAGCCCTTTGAAGCTCTCTCAGTCAGAAGCAGTTTCATGGTAAAACAAGAAAAAGCATCCTCTTTAAAGAGATAAGCTTCATGCTGCACATAATGTTGGAAGAGATTACTCTGTCTAGGCACAGCTATCAAATGAGATTAAGATATGTACATTCTTGGTATTCAAGGGGGGACCATTTTAACCAAATTGCAAGCACAAGAGTGTGCACTATATTTCAGAATGTAGAACTGTTCCTATGCCAGCACAGCGTTGTAGCCGGCGCAAGAACGTCCAGCTGCAGCATGTAAATTATTGTGTACTCTGAAAAATTGCATGCAGAGGGAGTGTTGTCAACACGTTAGTGATTGACGGAACTACTTAAAACGGCCAACACTGCGGCAATGATCTTTCAGACCTTATTTAAGGATCCTTCTGGCAATCTAAAGTCATCCAGGGATAAACAGATATGGCATATAGAATGTCAAGAAATTGCCATATGGCTTAACTCTGCTGAATATTTATATACAGACACGAAAAAATGACTTCTCGCATAACTGAAAGGTCCAAGACAACGTTCTGGGGACTGCATTGTTATCAGCTATTCCATCGTTGCAGAGCTCCTCAATCCTCAGTTGTTTGACTAGTTCATTGATTCTGCACAGTAGCTCAGTATCTGTGCAGTGATATTTGGAAAAGCCTGATAATAGTCGGATGTTGAGTTAGCATGTGTCAAAGGGAATGTTGCACAGTGATTTATGAGCTAGCAGTTCCACTGTGCTTTTGTCTTGGTTTCAGACAATTTTACAACTGACAAGACAGCCCTCACTGCATTTCAATAAGTTGAAGAAAGCTTTCTCTGCGGGTGTGCATTCTTCTGAATACAGAATTAGTCTGGTGGATTGTGATAAGATCTGGAGCAGGCTAAGAAAAGGCCAAACACTAGCATGAATCACTCACTTGAAACCTTAAGGCTGAGCAGGAAGGACAAAACTCACTTAATGGCTAAGTGTGCACATTATACCATTCCTTACTTTTCCAGCACACAAACACTGTAAACGCTTTCTTGAACTCGTTAGAGTCGCTTCTTATTCCAAACAACAAGACAATGGACAATGTATGCTTTAATGAGAATTGGTTCGTTTCTGTGAAAATGACTGAGGCACACCAACAGAAGCAGAGATGGCTGATTAAAAGAAAATGAACATGCTGAACCCTTGCTTGACAAACAGTACCAGAGATTATCACAGCCTCCATCTTTCTCAGAGACAAAGATTGAACTGTGAACATATCAGGAGGGTAATAAACACTGTGGAAACTATCAAGAGGACAGAATGATGAAATAATTTACAGGTTTTGCATTTCTTCATTTTGCTGATATAAACTTACTTTTCTCTTACTCTTCCTTTTAATTTCTGTCTATCCCTTATCCACTTTTGCTGCAGGCAATGAAGCATGTGTATAATTAGAACAAAAGACGCTGGGAATTGTCTCATTTTGCCATCCCCAAGAATACCGTGCCAACACATGGAAAACGTGAATAATCTCAACTTGAGCTCTCTGCTCACCAATCATATATTTTCACATATAGTCAGCCGGGAAGGAATTAATCAAATTGTTCTTGCTACCTCAGATCAAAGCTTGCATAAAATTATCATCTTTGAAACATTATGTGAGGAAAGTTGGTCTTACTCAAACACAAAACTGTTACATAGACTAAAAACTTAAAGCTACATTTCGGAAAGACACACATGAACCAAGTTGCCACCTGGAAATTACTTGTGGGAATATCTGGGTTTGCAGCACAGAGCTAAAGCTAAATGTCCTCTATAAAATCCTTTTTATCAGTGAGGCCTAAAAAATATTGTTAGAAGCAAAAAATATACATTTAGTTTAAAAAAAAGCAGACAAAACATCTAGACTTCTGTTCTGAAATTGAAGATTTTTCTCTTCTCATAAGCTGTTTCCTTACAAACAGCACTAGAATAGGAAGTGAAACATTTTCATAAACCAAATAGAAGTTCAGCCATTTTTTTATTTTTTTTTTATTTCTTATTTTCATTTGTTTGGGATTTGTCATGCTTTGATTGACAACCCAGACAAGTGTGTTATGTGTAAAGTTATTTCTGCTGTCCTGTTTATCAAAAACCTAACACTAACCATGGCTTCTACAGCTTTGACAATTACTTTGGATAATTTCTGTGTAATTCACATGATGTAACACTTGGCTACAATGATGGCAGTGTATGGGCATGATTGCCAACCATTATGTGTAGAGCTGTAACACTGTGTACAGCAAATGAGCTTTTTTCTACTCTTTGCTTTGAAAATGGACCAAAAGGAAGCTACTGTGTTTGTTTTTTCTTCATATGTAAGTTGACAACATGGACAGGTAACATGAAGTGGCACATCACTGAACATGGCTGACTGATTGTGCTATAGCATGGCAGCAATTTCAAAACTGTGCCCTGAACAATACAAGACAACTAGACAAAATATCACTCTTAGGGGGCTTCTGAGTAAAATCTCTCAGAGACCAAACAGAGATAGACCATGGGTGGCTTAGTAGCCAAGAGCTATTCTAGGAAATGCTTGCACAGTCCTTCCACACTAAACCCCTGGCTTTCTGCTGCACTTCTGAAATAAATGGCACCAAAGGCTGAAAATGTCTTTGGCTCCTTTAATGCTTCTTCCTACATTTTACTCATATAGAACCTGAGACATTAATCTCAGGTACAATGAGGATATAATGAGAAGAACTGAGTCAGGGACGCAAAGCCACAGATGCTGTAAAATGAATGAGTAGGCACAGGGTTTAGAGAGCTATATATTGTGAAAAGGGCAAAGAAAATGATTGCATATGATCATTATAATGAGCTGAACATTTGGTTGGTGATTTTCCAGGCATGAACAATTCAAGTCATAGCACTGGAGATGTCCCGCCAGTATGGAGAGATTTTAAAAATTAGTAAGCAAGGCAAGCAGCTAGTGGTCTGTTCATCCCATCACAGTGTTGATACCATCTGAGACATCACGGAGTTCCCAATTCTGTCTCGCAATGAGCTTTCACATGTGTTTAAGACGTCTCCCAGAGTGCTAGCATATTCCTATTTAATTCAGTTTAATTTGTTTGTGCTAATGCAATTTGCAGTACACAAAGCATTGCATTTTGCATAGATTGTTCATGCAGAATTTATTATACTGTCTCATAATGCAGAATTTACAGCTGACTCCATTAGGCAAGAGAGAATATTGCACTGCACTTTAAAAGAGAATCAATTAGATGAATCAAGAAAAAAGCTTTTCATACACCTACAAGAAGCATCTGTTAACATAATACAATGCATTACTTTTCACCTGCCTTTAATATACTACACTTTGTTTAGTACATATAACTTGCAGGATTTTGGATTTGGAGTGTTTGTGCTGTGTCTGCACTCTTCCCTGCACATTCTCTGATACACACAGTGAAAGCTCAATCTGGTTTTTCCTTCTCTCATATTAAAACTAAAATAAAATATTAATAGTTGGTATAAAACACTTCTGGTTTCACAATGTATCCCACTTTATGTCAAAGGTGGTTATATTTTTTAATGAGGATTTTATATTAATTCAAGTTTATAAATGTACAAAAGAGTGTAGCAGAACTGAGTTCTGTAGCAGGTTTTGTAAATTAAAATAATGCAGGACTGGAATCATAACACATGAAATTTCAAAATAATGCGAGCACCAGCTAATTAAAAATGGTAAATTAATCAGACCTGGGGCAGACACATGGCCTGCTGTAGGCAAAACAGAGTGCCAGAGCTCTATCAAAACCATGTTTGCTGAATATTCTTCTATTACTGAAGACAGTCATTTGATTATTTGAAAAAGCCAATTAATTTTATACGTCAATTCATTTTTCCTAGCAATTATTAATCCAAGACACATCACTCTATTGGCCTTTAGTTTATCAAATATATGACTGTTGAGGAGCTCTTTGCTTATGTTTCTGAAACTTGTTTAATAGGTTTTTTTTATTCCATTGAAAATTTGACATCATTCATCACTGTTAGTGGTGTAGATCTTAGAAACTTGTAAGTTAAAATTTCATTTTTAAACACTTTTCATGCTGAGGTTGGAGACGCAAATGCAACAAAAAATGGGATACATGCAGTTGGCTCAAGAAAAAAGTATCAGAACTCTAACAAATAAACTATTCTATACTTTTCTCTTTAAACAATACAGATAATATTACATACTGGAATTAGCAAACCTCTTGGAAACTTTTAATATGAATGTTCTTCAACATGTAATTTTCATCAATGTGAATACAATCAGACGTGTAGCAAGATGTTCAAAAGTTTTAGTCATTATTAAGACAACCAATTTTATGGAAAGATTAATGGAGAAAGACAAACTGAAATAAATAAATAAATAAACAACACTTTCTGCTTTTTGATAAATAAAAATATTTTAAGAAACACTAATGCAACTAATATTTTCATCATAAGAATTCAGAACAGTGATTTGATCATTTCATGGGCTGTTTTGTTGCATCTGGATTAGCACAGCTTGCCAATGATGATGGAACTCTAACTGCTGACTCATTTCCACAAATGATGAATAAAACAAATAGAACACTTATTAAGGCTCAATAAATAGCAAACAAAAGCAAAAAGAGTGTCTAAAATGTCAAGTTGTTTCCTTAAAAACTGCATTGTTTTAAAATGGATTATATGGAGCCTAAAGTTTGATTTCAAAATGAACAATAAAAAACTTATTGAGCAGTTTATGATAAATTTGTTCTACATGAAGGGCTACATTTGTTTAAAGTTAATGCATGAGGTTCATTTAAAAATATATTTGTTGGGTTTTTACTGCAAAATAAGATTATGCTACATGCTAAACCTTTTCTTTTTGAAGTACAGAAAGAGTGAAAGTCTTTGTGTTAGTCAAAATCACAATATACAAATATCCAAAAGTTTGTAGGCTGTACGGAGATTTTGTGTTTTCACACAGAGTCTTGTAAATTCTAATATCAATTTTATATTTATCCATCCAAATGGACAAACATCTTTATATTAAAATTAAGCTGCAAAACAATTGAAAGGTATTTTGATATGAAGAATGAAACCTCACCTTGACCAGCTCATAATGTTGAATCCCATTTATCCCCACGTCAGGGTCAAAGGCCGATGGCACCGGGTATCGGGTGTTGATGGCTGTGTTCTCAGGGATGGAGATGTTTATAACAGTAGACTGAAAAAGTGGGGCGTTGTCATTTACGTCCTCGATCAGGAAACGGATCTTAACCAATCTGAAGATCTCATCGGGCAGCACGGCCACCTCGATCTCGTAGTAGCAGCGTTTCTCATTGAAGACTCCTGAGCACAGCTTCTCCCTGTCAATTCTGTGACTGGTGGTAAAAATCTCCCCCGTGTTGGCCTCCACCCTCACCAAAGGCACGTCGCCTGTTTTATACACAGGCTTGAACTGCAGTGGCGAGGATAGCCTGATGTTCGGGTCAAGATGGAGGTCGAGGTCCTTGCGCAGATTCCCTATGCGGACGTTCTCTGGCTGCTCCTCTTTCACGATGTAGTCCCTCTCCTGGGCCTTGCATAGTAAGACCAAACAGGTGAGCAAGATCACCAGTGCATGCACCTGACTTGCCAAGTTCATGCTCAAACGTCGATGGGAGCTTCACGCCTGCTGCAGCAATTCACTCTGAAGAAACACAGGAAAGAGAGAAAAGAAAGGCGGGAAAAAGACAGAACGCACAACGTCAATGAAGAAAATGACATGGCATTCATGTTCTGCTGTAATTAGTATTACTTTCCCACATTTTATGGCATTTTCATTGCAACCTCTTTACAATCCAACATCCTTCCCATGTCTAAAAGAGCAAATTAGTGGCTTTTTTTTACACAATTAACCTTTGATGACACTGACTAACCAAGGACGCAAGGAAAGGTTAGTGGTTCATGAGTTCCATCAATCCATTTCATTGTTGTGTTTGAATCATTATTTGAACCATGAAAGATGTTGAGTTTATTGTTACTTTGAGTGAACTACCTTGCCTGGAAAACAGTAGGTATGGAAAAAAAAAAAAATTACATTTGAATTAGTCAAAATAAAGTTTCTTCAGAAAGTGCACCTCACATCCAGATTTCAGCTCATTTGGAGGAAGCAGAACTAAGCCTTAAGGAACGGTGCTTTCACGCAAGAATACACATAAACACTTGCACTTGTGCTGCTTGACAGAAGCTATTAATGGAGAGCCTCATTTGTTCTGAATGTAAACAATCGAGCTCTCAAACATTTCATGTTGGCCCATGTGTGTAAGCGAGCACAGTATGATAAGAGCTCTGTTCGAAGAGAGGGAAACAAGGATGTGAAATCCTTTATTTTGAAAGCCACCATCAGTCAAATTACTGACATTTAATTATAACTTCACTGAGTCTCAACAAATGTTTTCGCTTTCTTTCTTTTATTAACATTAAATCTAACCCATTCCCCCAAGGCTGTTTGTATGGATCGCTAAAAACCCTTGAATGCTGAGCAAAAAAAAAAAAAATCTGGAGAGGTGTTCCAATTCATTTGATGCTGTTGTTCTGCAAAGTCTTTGACTGTTTGATATGTGTAAACGCTCACCAAAGGGCAGGAACTCAAACCGCCAACACCCAAGTAGGTCATTGGAATACGATGAAGGAGTCATGCCTGGCAATGCCTTCCCTGCCGGTAGACACTATAAAACATTGACTGCTTTCCACCAGTTTATTAGTAGGTTACTGGGGAGTTACTCTGTGTGGCTTGCTAGCTGACATTTGACTTATTCATTCATTTAGCACATTATCAGGCATGTTTAACAAATGTAGTCAATAATTTCTGTCACGATCACACAGGGTCAGGTTTAGCCAGACAGGCCTTTTAATAAGCTTCTGGCAGCTGGAGTCTGATGTAACTGTAAATATAAATGTGTGTACAGTAGAAACAACAGATATTTATCCCCATTTTGTTGTCACTTCAAAGTGAAGCCGCCATATTTCAGGTAAAAATATATTTCCTGCTCATAAAATTGCTCGCTGCTTATCTGCAGTCCAGCACAGTAAATATACTATATAATAAATATACTATACCAGCTAATTTTATCACTCGTTTTCCCACTGTGTGTTTAAATCTAAATCCCTTCTTGTGTGTTTATTACCCGCATATGTCTTTCATGAGTTTGGCTGCATTCAGAATGCAGATGCCTTGAAATCAATCACTTATTCCTCTTAAAGAATATCAAAAGCTGACAGAATTCACACAAACAGTTTACAGATGGCGCTTTATAACATTCAGAGCTTACCTGTTGTAAAAATAATAAAAAAAAGAGATTTCTCAGAGAATTATATTTTCGACTTCAGGAAATTTCTATCCCCTAAAATGAGTCCTAAAACGGTGCGACTACCTAAACTGAACAACAGGGGGTCCTCTAAATTGGCAAGGCAACGGTGTTCATAGGCACTAAAATGCTCGTCTGGCTGACAGAAGGGAATTGATTAAAAATAAGGATTTCATTAAGCTGGTTTTGAATCTGCAACAATTGCGAGGCGTTCACAAACCACGTGCAGACAAGCTCCACACATCTCATAAAGCTAAGTCACAAGAGACTCATTACAGAGCAGTTAGACTAAAAAAAGCATGGCTGACATTGATCATGGGTAAGAATTTTTAATACTATCACTTTTTTTTTTTTTACTCTATAGAGTACAGGCGGCACTGTCCTGTCAACACACTGATAAAATATATCCTATTAGTACCAGTGGCACACTTTACTTAGAAAAGCGCTTCTTCGAAGCTGTGATGATCGCCACACTGTCCAGGGCTGAGCTTGCATAATGAAGTTTAAATTACCTCCTTAAATGTGATGTGATTTGGTGAAGAGAAAAATCTGAACAGATCAAAGGATGATCTAGATTTTCTCTTCATTGTAAGTGATAATGATGTTCTGCTGGATGACGGGGTGCAAATGCAGAAAAAAAAAAAGACAAGCTTGTGGTTTAACATGATGCTAGAGAGCGGAAATGTACTAGAACATGAGATATGCACTGACAGATACAGTTATTTCACTTAAATTATGTGATTAAATGTGTTATCTTCGCACAACTTGTGGTTTAAATAAACTTCCTGTCTTTTATTATTTTCATGAGTTTTCTACAGTGCCATGATTTCCCAACATTTGCACTTCTTTTCACTTGTCACAACTCTTTACAAACCTGTCCACGAGGGATAAGCTAGGCGAGAGAGGAAATTGTGCTGCAGGGGTGGAAAAAAAAGGTAAGAGGAGGGCAGATTCTAGGTGTCACTCAGAGTGTCTACATTGCTTACATTTCACTAGTCTCCTGAAATGCTATTTTGAGCCCAAGACAGCAGGTTGAATCCAGTAGGCAAACTCAAACTTCCCTCTCGGGAGACACAGTGAAGAAGAGCTGACCAGCCCCGAGATCCCTTTGCGCGACAGCATGATGGACGGGTCTTCCTGGTGTTTGCATCCGCTGAATGTAGCGGTGAGTGGAAGGAAGGGGACGTAAGGCGACTGTCACTCCCTACCTTCACCTCGAAGATGGCCTTATCAGAAACTTTCAGTGTGGTTAATCTGAGGCTGGCACTCGAGAGGTTTGAAGTCCTTTTAAACTGTCAAAGACTTTCTCCACCCCAATCCTTCTTCTGCTGCATCTATTATTGTTATAATAGGCAGTGGATGTGTCCATAAAAGAAGACAATGATCTTTATGGATCATGGCAGCCGGACAAAACAGGTTTCTGTTGTGAGCAGACATTCTGTTCTGTTCGCAAAGTCATGGGAGTTCTTTCATATATATATATATATATATATATATATATATTTATATATTTAAATTTATATATATACACTTTCATATTGTTAATATTATATATAAAAGTGTGAATGCATAAATTTAAATATCGTAAAGTGCCATATTTAGTAGAAATATCTGTGTTTTTTCCACAGTTTATTGAAGTCCAAAGTATTTAGAAAGGGCTGCACTTCTTGACAATTAAATAAACCGAGTAATATTTCTTGCCCTCTCCATTAGCAGACTGACATGCTACATTTCAGCGCTGGAATGGTGGACCTGAAGAGGGCAGTCCATGCAAGCTCATACTCCGCAATGACTAAAAAATTGTTCAAATGTACGTTTATTTATATTGTCTTTATTTAATTTTATTTTGATCCCTTTATAAATACAACAGTAACAAAGCCCAAAATTACTGACAAAGAAGTATCAAAGAAGCCAATGTTAAATTAAAGTAATAAAATGTGTCAACAGTTAAAGCGCAAACTTATGATATGGAAATACAATGAATATATTCATTAGAATTCTAGTAATGTTTATATTTTAGGTGTTGCTTGAAAATATGATGGATTGTGAAATCAATCTCCAAAGAAAAGTTCATTGGGGTTAATCATATTAATTAAACTGTCATTATTGTAAATGAGAATGTCTTGCTTGTTTTAGCTAGCAGCACTAATTCATTCAAGAGATCTGCAATATTCTATTAACTTTTTAAAACTTTGCAGTGACATTGGTGGATGGCTACGAACTAAAATATAAAAATGGACACCAACAGCTGTGTAAAAAGATAACATCTGACTCCTGGAAGAAGCAGTAAAAGCACAGACACTCCAAGAACAAAAGAAAACAAACTGATATTTTCCCTGCAAGACAACCTCGAACTCACCATTCAGCCGGCAACATTTAAACAGAATCCAAGGCAAAACCTACATTTTAAGGCGTTTGTTACTGAAACATGTGGGTTTTTAATGTTCAAACAAGGTCTTTACTTAATGTTTGTACCAATAAATGAAAAATCAAAACATTATTAGTTGGACTTAACTATACTGGCTTTATTTCAGTGGATAAATCAAACTCAAGTTCAGTTTACACCATTCTTTTCTTTTTTTTTTTTAATTCTTCTCACATCTAACATTTTTGGCTCACCATTTGAGAAGTTCACATCACAGTTTGCTCTGACTCTGGAGCAAATTAAACACTCGAGTCAAACAACAGATGGAAATAGACACCATATTTAGGGGGGTAGATAAAAAAAAATCTATGTGAATTTAATCCTTTGGGCAGGTATATATATATATATATATATATAATGTATACAGAATTGATAGTCCCTTATCTGTGGCACGTGAACCGCTGAAGCAGACGCGCGCTGCTGCCGCACGCCCACGCATCTAGCGCCCAAGATGCTGAGAAACCCGGGCTGATAAGTGCCTGCTACTTTCTGACATGACTGTTTGCAGATCAGTGCAAAATAAGACTAATAACGCCCCAAGTCACCATCATCTGCGCAGCATTCTCTCTAAATGCGACAACTTGGGCTTTTCCAGTCGATTACGCTCGTTTGTGCCTTTGGATAAGCTTTAAGAAAACCCATTAGATCTAATAAAAAGAGATCCTGTCGCAACAAAATGATTCACTGAACTAAATTCCAGCCTGTTTCCAGCTGTTATTATAAAATGGGATCAGATCCGAGCAGGTACAAGAGGACCTGAGTTGGATTTAACGCGAACCAAATAAAATAGACTCGTGTTTCTAAATGCGCTCTGAAGAGAACAGGAGGGATCATAAAAGGCATCGTATTTAGATTTGAGGAGAAACAAATATATAAAAAATGAAAAGCACAGCTCACCTTCTCTGCTGGAA